TGTGACCACATCATAGGAAAGCAGCTGATGATTATAATTCAGTTGCCAGTAGGATGGTGTCAGTCTCCATCTGTGAACTGCTTATGTTGCCCTCCATGTGGTCACACTGATGGTTCCAGCCAATATTTCTCACAGTCTTTTTTGGGGGAGGGAAGGGGGTATATAACACGATCTTCCGTGAAGGTTGTACTAGTTCAAGCTAACTTATTTATGATACAAGAATACGTGTCCTGGATTAAGTTCTTCACAACAGTTCCCTGCATTTGTACCTCAATCACCCTATGAATACAAGTCACCCCAAATCTGGCTTCCATGCCCCTCGCCATGCCCACTTTATACCCGGAGGCTCAGCGTGGACACTTAGCTTGTCCCAGATCCCTCGGGAGGTGAGAAGCAGATCCAGGACCAACGCTGTTCTTCTCACCAGCATCTGATGTTGCAGGTGGGTCCTGGAAATGCAGGACTATTTATATTTCTGCTGGCTTCAAGCTGAATGTGTCCACCAGCGGCCTTCTTGGCTCGGCCAAGCCTCCAGGCAAGTCCCGAGGTCTCTTCCCTTTGCTCACTGCATCCCCACCGTCTGTTCTGTCCTAGGGCCCCAGCAGTGGGACCTGCCCTCTGAGGCCTGTCTGGCAGCCAACTCCGTCCCTCTGTGTCCTAAGTTCCTGCAAGCCAACAGCCCTTCAGTTCTATTCCCCACGCCTGAAAAAGGGACAGAAAGTGCTGACTCACCCACCAGGCTGTGAAGATCTTCCACTCTGTGACGTGAACGGGTTGAACGTCTCCCCCCCTCCCCCTGCAACATGATTGCCATCTACCTGTGAGGTGCTAGTCTGATGGGCAAGAGAGTTGTCATCTTCCTTTTTCCTTCCTTCTTTCTTTTTTCTTTTTTTTTTTTTTAATAAATTAGGGTGTGGAAGGTACTAGATCAGATACACGATTACAAAATGCCACAGAATCCAAATTAAAAGGCCCAGTGTAGGGTCACTGGAGCTAGTCTGGCTCAGGCAAGAAAAGGTTTTTTTCATCTGCACCCCATCTTGACGTGGGATTTCTCAAGTCTCGGCACCTGTTTTGGGGTCAATGTTTCCAAGGTTCTTTTTCCCTTTAAAACTAGTCAGTTATTGGGGCGCCTGGGTGGCTCAGTTGGTTAAGCGACTGCCTTCGGCTCAGGTCATGATCCTGGAGCCCCGGGATCGAGCCCCACATCGGGCTTCCTGCTCAGCAGGGAGTCTGCTTCTCCCTCTGACCCTCTTCCCTCTTATGCTGTTTCTCTCTCTCTCTCAAATAAGTAAATAAAATCTTTAAAAAAAAAACTAGTCAGTTATTGCTTAAGAATTAATTGTATTAACAATATTAATTTATATCAGTATTTATTCATAATTAACAAAAGTATTGCTTTTAATTATTAAAATAATAAATTAAGAAATGAAGAATCGATGGTAAATTAATCAATTATGAGCCCCCTAGCAAGAACACTTTTGTGGTGACAAGGTCTTTACCTCGTCAGGTAAGAGCGGGATGGTAACTCGGCCCCAAACTTCCACCGCAACAAGTGGAAAGCACATACATACATACAGGTTTCCCTCGCTGTTCCAACCTTTGCGCTATACCCCTTCGCTTTTACGAAAGACCTACATTAGTACCCATTTTCACGAACTGAAAGAAATCCAAAGAGGTTTTTCACTTTTTGAAAAGCAAAATTAGCGGTCAGACGGGCTTTTGCCGCGAGAGGAGCCGGTAGGGAGGCAGCGTGCACCGGGAGTGGCGCCCCTAGCGTCTTCCGCGGGAACTACACTCAGCATCTCCGCCTGGAGCCGCGAGATCTGAACTGTGTGCGAGCTTCCCGGCTTCACCTCCACCTGTTGTGTGCATCCGTTAGTTAGCAAGGTGCGTCCTAAAGATCAGAAAAGCCGAAGAGAGGTTTTATTTGGGGGTCTGGGAATGCTGCAAAATTTTCCGGAGAGATTAATGGTAACTGCTTCTCTGCTTTTGGCCATTTTGACTCCCGACAAGTTTCACAAGCACACTGTCCTTTTGGATAGCGGGAAAAGCTGTGTGTCCATGCTGTTTCCGCATCCTCTCCCGAGATTTTCTGTGCCCTGCACCCCTCGCAATCCTGGCTTACAGTAAACCCATGAAATCAACTTCCCTTCTCAGTTTCTATTTCCTAGTAGCTGCTAACTACTGATTTTAGACAGGATTATGATAGCAGTAAATCAGAAAACAGCATTGTCACAGAAATCTAGGACTTAATGCAAGAATAGAAAAAAAAGATTTTTGTATTAAAGAATGTGAGGTTTATACTTATCTCCATAGAATGGACAAATGAATGAATCCAAGCAATAACATTAGATGGTATTAAATACTCTTGTATATTTTTCAGGAATGTCACAAGCTGATTCCTGTTTGGCTTTCTGAAAGCCTCCTCACCAGCTTCGAGAGACCACCTACTCCAGGAAGCCTGCCCCGATTTCCTTCCTGAGATGCTCCTCCTAGGGCACAGGTCACAATGTACTGTATATTATCATCAGATGGAAACTTATTTTGTGTCCTGCATTCAGTGATAACTACTGTATGTTACTTAGTTTTAGCAAACTTCCTTCTACATCTACAATCATGGCTCACATTTATCGCATTTACTGTGGCCCAAACCCTGACTTAGGCTTTACCTGGAGTATCTCACAGGATCCCTACACGACCCGTTATTATCCCCATCTCACAGATGTGGAAATTGATGAATATTGTTGTAGACACTAACAGCCCGGATGTGCAGGCCATTCTTTTTTGTTTCTGTGGTAAGTCAGCTTGGGATAGGCTCCGCTGTGGGAACAATGAAATCTCGGTGGATAGATGGAATACAGGTTTACCTGGTGCTCACGCCACACTCTGCAGGTCTGGTGGCCCCCCTCCATCGGTGCGCAAGCCTTTCTGGACTATGTGACCTCCCAAGTCAGGGGTGGGGGCTGAGATGGATACACACAGCCCTTAACCGCCTCTGCCTGGAAGTGCCCCCCACTCTCCCTTAGAGTCACAAGGTGCAGTATGAAGTTCTCCTCCTCGAGTGGGTCAAACTCAAGTTCTGCTTTAAAAAGCCCTAGTGAGGAGTGGAGCTGAGGGAGGTGGGCCCCCAGCGGGCTGGTAGGCGGCCTCCTGCCTCCCAGCTCTAGGCCCTTATCAATCTAAAAGGCTTAGTTTTAAAGATCCAAACCTGTGGTCTTTTTCCATAAATGTGGTCACTTTATAGGCATTAATCTATCACTTAGTTTTCTATCACAGATTTTGAAAACCGTCCCACATACGGACAAATTTCCATCTGAAAAATCCCATGTGCTCAAAAGAAAATCATGCTGAGCAATAAAACATCCTTTGGCCTAGCATGTGTAGAAAAGTATGCTATTTGCCATGTTTTAACAATTTGTTTACTGTGGGTTTCCCCCCCCCCGCTTCGATACACTTTTAACTCCACTGTTTAAAATTAAAAATTTGGACCTACTTTTAATTTAGTTTGGCATAAGGACAAGTAAGCAATCTTATTTTTATTCTAGTATTATTTTAACTCCATTGTTTAAAATTAAAAACTTGAACCTATTTTTTAGTTTGGCGTAAGGACAAGTAAGCAATCTTATTTTTTCAGATTGATACTCAAATCAATCTTCACTGTTTAGTGAATAATTTGCCATTTCCCCACGGATGTGAGATGAGAAGTAGCTTGTCCCCAATCCAAATACACAGGCATGAAGCACGTATCCGGACTCTGTGTTCTCCAGTGGCCCCAGCTTTAGATATATTACAGAGTAACATTGAATTCTCTTTTCCTTTCTTAGGTCTGTTTTCATACATGAACTGTGAAAGCAGTAAGATGAAACCAGGAAGGAGAAAGTATTTTTTATTGGGACTGCGTATTTAGACACCTTTACGGTGTTGTCTTTCTAGCCAAGATCATCTTTCACGATTAATAGTGATGTTTGGAAATGTAGTGTTTTTCAACACCTGCAGGCATGTCATTCCTTACTTGTGAAGGCAGTGCCAGAAAGGTCGACTGCCTCAGAACTTGAGAATCAGGTGGGATCTAGGGATCATCTGGTCCAACGTTTTGTTTACAAATAAACAAATTTAGGCCCAGAGAAGGGAGGTGAGGTGGCCCAGGTCACCCAACAATTTGATCCATAAGTGCCCGCCCCTTCCCTGGGGCTTCTCTTCCCCCACTGGGTGGATCCAGCAATCCTGGTTCCTGAACTGTCTCCCTCTGAGGCTGCAGGCCAGGGAGAAGCCACTCGGGTCCGCACAGCGTTCCATGCGCCCCCCCGCCCCACGGCCCCCCAACCACACAAAGTCAGCCATCCACAGTGACGAGAAAGACATTTAATCACTTCTTGGTCTTATCTCTTAAAGCGCTCAAGTGTTTTCACAAGTGCAAAGGGAGCGATTGCTCTCAGCCAACATTTACCAGTAATTCCAACACACGCAAAAAAACTACAAATCACCGTGCTTTATACTTACTTTTAATTTCTGCACTGAAAAAAAAAGTGAAAACCATGACAGGTTAGTTTACAGTGACATCACCTCTGCCTTTAAATTAACCTTTGCTCTTGGGGGCAGAAGGGGGTAAAGAAAGACAGGAACACATCAAAGCAGGAGAGCAAAACAGGGGCCGAGACACCCGAGACTGGGGTCTGGCTAATCGGGTTCGGAAAACCCGGAGGCGAGGCGGCGGCGCACTCGGCGCGCTAGCCTGTAAACACGGACAGGCAACAGTTAAGATACAGTAAAAAGGGAAAAAGAACCAAAAAACAAAAATCAAAACTCCCACAATTCCATTCTTAAAATCAAGCACGACAACGGACAGTGAATCCAAGGTTCATGTGGGTGCACCCCTCCGCCGCGGGGGTGGCCGCACGGCGGGGCACACGCTCCGGCCCGGGGGGCCCCTGCTCTGCACAGAACTGCGCCCACCAGCACGGGGCGCTCCGCGGGGAGGGGGTCCGCAGGGAGAGGGGCGGCCCACAACCGCAGCCTACCCTGACAGACAGCAAGAGCCGCAGGGGCGGGTCTGTGTGCTTTCGAGGCTCTGCCTCCGGAATGTTCTGCACTCGGGCTGGGGTGGGTAGTGGGTTTGAGTTACGCTCCACACGGTGTTTAAGTGCTTGCTTTATTTTTCATGTGCAAACTGTCACTGTCTAAAGCTTTCAGAAGAACGTGTACAGATAGGAACACCCTGCAGAGCGGAGAGTACTCGCGTAAGGCCCCACCCTCCTGAGTGGGGCGGGCGTGGGGGCGCAGGACAGAAATATTTAGAGAAACGATGTGTTCTGCTGCGGTTAAGCTCTAGTCCCTGATTCGGTCCGTCCAAAGGAGGGGGCTCCTCAGTAGGTGATTGTCCACTCTTTGACAGAGGCGTCGTGGGAGGTCGTGATCAGCGTGTGCTCGTCCAGCCAGGCCAGGCTGCTGACGTGGTGGAGCCGGTGCGCATCTGGGGAGAAAGAAGGCGCTCTGAAGGGAAGCCCCTCTGCTCCCCCAAAACCTCACGTGACGAGCAGGGGACAAGCTGTGCCAACAGCAACAACGGCTGAGAACCTGACCGCGGACTGTTGTTCATCAGACCCTGTCCCTCTTCACCGAAGGGTGAGCGTCTGGAAGGTGGAAGGTGGGTGCAGGCATTCTCAAGCCGGCATCCCTGTGGGCCCTCCCAGACACAGGGACTATCCTGACAACCAACAACATCCCCTGGGAGACAGAACTGCTCCTCCCCCAAGGACGTAAAAGTCTGTTCCTTTTTATGCATAGAGAAACAATACACAGACAATACACAAACAGCTTCCTGGTATATCTGCAGTAATAAAATGGGCGGGGGGGGGCAGTGAATAAAGGTGGAGAAACCTCTGTAAGAGGTGGACCGGTGACTAGAATACCCTGAGAAACACCGGCCAGGCCCCAGGCACCCCCCTCTGTGAGAGGTGCACCAGGGGTGACCACAGTCCTCCCCAGTTTCCTGCCTCTACTCTACGGACTGGGTGGGTCCTAGTACAAACCTCACAGAGCAGGGGGCCCAGGTGAATCTGTTCTGGGCCACCTCTCACTGGGCCCTCCCATCTGGCTGGCGGGGGGGGGGTGACACCAGGACAGGAGAATTTCAGATCTACCCTGGACAGACACGGTCCCTCCCGGGGCCATGAGGCACATGTGACTACAGAGCCCCTGAAGCGAGCTATTGCCACATGTAGAAAAAATATGTTGGGCTAAATAAAACTTACTATTAAGAATAATTTCATCTGTTTTTTGTTTTTTTAAACGAGGCTACTAGAAACACGGGAGGTCCACAGGAGGCTCCATTACATTCCCACTGGACGCTGCCCGTCGTGGAGAGAGAACCTGATCAGCAGTTTAATTTAGGGGGTGGGGGGGACGGGAAAGTGCTGTGGTCTGAGTGTTTGTGTCTGCCCCTCAAAATTGTACACCAAAAACCCAATGCCCAAGGCCGTGGTATCAGGAGGTAGGGCCTTGGAAGAGCTGCGAGCACAAACGGGATCAGTAGCTTATTAAAGAGGCCCCGCAGAGCATCGCCCTTCCCTTGCGTGGGGCCCAGTGAGAAGTCTCTGACTCAGAAGAGCTCCCCAACGCCCCAGTCACGCCACCCCCTATCTGGGACTTCAGCCTCCCGAACCGTGAGCAATAATTCTGTGGTTTATAAGCTGCCCAGTCTGCGGTACTTGTTATGGAAACCCGACAGGCTGAGAAAGAGATGTCAAGAGGGACCCCGTGTGCTAAGGCGCATGTCCGGTGAATGGAGACCACCTGCTCTCCCAAGGGGAGCATGCGCATTGTCGATCCCTCTGTGTGTCTAGTGGGGGCCGGCAGAATGAGAGCCATGCCTCTCGGGGGTAACTTCCCCAGAAGCACAGATGGGACACTTGGGCTTGGGGAGAGCCTCTCTGGGGCTGCCTGGGGAGCCGAGGCGGGATCGAGAGTCACCTTGGATCTTGACCCTGGTCTCAGGGTCACTTAGGGTCCAGACGTACACCATCATGTCCATGCCACCAGAGGCAAAGTGCTCGTTGTCTGGTGACCAGGCCAGGCAGACAATCTTCGCGTGGTGTCCGTAAAAAACGTTGTTCTCCTAGTTGCGGGTTGAAAACAGAGGTGGTAGGTCAGGGTTCAGGCCAGAGGGGCACGTGTCATCTCACCTGCCCCCAGTGACCACCACGAGGGCTGACGCTGATGCAGCACACTCTGCCAGGCACCGTGCATGCCTCACGGAAGCCTCACGGGAACCCGAGGTGCCCACTGCTCTGTGATGAGGCCCAGGAGGGTACAGCCCAGCATGGCCCAGCATCGGGCAGCAGCCACTGTGCCCCCGGGGCCCCGAATGGCCTCCATCCCCCGAGGCGCTAGGTGTGTGTGCTCTCCTTCATGGAGCCTCGGCCCAGCCAGGGCTCAGCGCAATGCAGACACAAAGGCTCAAGGAGGCCCCGCCTCAGGCAGGTGGGAAGTTTCAGGCAGCAGAGGGAGGCCGCCGGCCCCTCCCCACACACACCGGCCCACTACTTGCTACTCCGAGGCCTGGGGCGGGGGGGGGCTGGACGGAGCCTGCAAGCTGGAGGACTAGCACTTTCCTGATGCCGTAGGAATGCTTTTTCTTCAGGGCATTCCATTTTCTTAATCCCTAAGAAAAGGTCGACTTGATGATGATTTTCCTTTTCAAGTTTGCCTGTTCTGCGGTGTGTTGATCCCACCCTGTGGACTGCCTACTTAGCATGCTGTCGACATGACTTCTGTTGTAAATACATGAAACCACTAAAAATGAGATAAAAAAAAAAAAAAATCTGAGAAATGTGGCGAGGGAGCAGAAGGAAATCCCCTGGGAGGTAGGGTATCATGTCGATGGAGGTCCTGATTACAGGCTTTATGTCCAAAGCAAGCTTCACTCGCGCCTTTTGTCAGAAATAACATTGTAGCATCAGAGAGACTAAAAGAAGACTCAACTCTAGTTCATACATAAGCCCAAGTATTTACGGGGAAATGTACAGATGCCTGTGATTTAAGTGCACCCAGAATTAAAATTATCGGATGGATAATGGCAAAACCTAGGTGGTAAATTCTTTCACCTCTGCTGCATTCCAAAACCATTCAAGTGCTGGGGGTCTGGTGTGGTGTAAGGCCCGGGGACCGGAGACCTGCCATCCTGTGCCCCTGCTCTGGCCACACCCAGCGAATGACGGAACCCCTAACAAAGCTCAGTCTCCTGTCTGTGAACTGGGGCAATGGATCACTCTTGGCCCGCGGCTGTCCTCCCACGCCCAGGTGCCTCTGCACCCTGGTCTGCCCTCCCCAGCCCACTGCCCAGCACCCCCCACACGTGAGGCAGTGCTGGGATGATCCGCGCTCATCTTCGTGAGACTTATAAACAGCAATGAGACACAAGAAGAAAATCTAGTGTGAGCCCTTAGAGAAGAAGCCAGGAAGTCACTTAGCCAGGCAGCCCAGGTGAACCAATCAGTCTGTCTTCACAGCAAGCCTTGCCACCACTCAGGGTCCTGACTTTCTGGCAAGCGTTCTGCCTCACTCACAAAACCACGAGACCCTGGATGACAGTGTGTCTCCTTGTCTCACATCATTCAGCTCTGAGAACAAGAAAGCCACGCGGTCTCATCTGACTGCCGCGCTCATGACAAGAGGGGAGAGAAACCACGGCCGGCCGCCACCCCCCCAGCCTTCCACACTGCCCAGCAAGGGGACAGAGCCACGCTGCCTGCCCACTCACCGAGTAGCCGTCTGCAACGCTGAAGACCGTGACCACTTTGCTGGCATCGCACACGGCGAGGAAAGCGCCATCGTGGGAATATGCCACATCGGTCACGGGGCCCTTGGCCTCCAGGAGCTTGCCCTCGTCCTTCAGCGTGGTGCCCAGGATGGAGTACAAGCGGACATTCCCGTCCTGCAGGAGGACAGAAGAGCACTGAGTCACTTCCTGACGTGCACCACTGCGGGAGCACACACACAGGCACGCGCTCGCGCTCCCCAACACGCTCCCGAAAACCGTTCAGCAGCTCCCACGGCGTACTCAGCATAGTGGGAAGAATCACTCAGGAAGGTAATTAAAATGCCGAGTGCTAGGCGCCCCCAATTCTGCTTCTGGGTGTTTGGGACTCTGCCTCTTTTCATAAACACTCCAGTAAGTTCTAATGCAGGTGTTCGCATGGCAAACTCTGAGAACTACCTATACATGCGTTAGGGCCCCCATTCTGGCTGTCCCCTCGGGCCACACTGCCTGCCCCCTCCCCTGTGCTCTGTACCCACAGGGCCCTTCCCAGCGCCCCGGGGGTTCCTTCAGGCACCGACTCACTCTGACCAAGGCCCCTCTCTCCACCGGCTGTCTCCTAGTGAGCGCCCCCTCCTTGTCATGACCCAGGTGCTTCTTCTCAAGGGAGGCACACCTGCTCTTTCAGATGGCGGGTGCCACCTAGTCCATGGGCTGATCAACTGGCCCAGGAGTCCTTGAGCCTGGGATGCCCATGAGATGCCCAAGTGCCTCGCTCTACCCAGCTCTCCTCGGCCAGAGCCTCTGAGGGGTGTCTGTACCTCTCTGCTGACAGTCCAACCGTGCTCTGGAGCCCAGCCAGGTGGACACACCTTGGGCACCTGCCCTCCAGACCAGGGCCGCCCCCCCACCCCCCCGTTTTCATGCCCCCAGAGACTTGTCCAGGACGTGGGCCTGAGAAGTGTCACACACGGTGGAATGAATCCCTGTAGCACGGATGGACAGACAGAAGGAACTGGGAGAGGTGGTGTCCTGGCGACTGCCCAAGGCTGCCCTGAGAGGAGGCAGATCAAGGACGAGCCGCCCTCTTGGGGCAGCTGAGCTATCCGAGTGGCACACATGCTGAGCTATCCGAGTGGCACACATGCTGAGCTATCCGAGTGGGAAACATGCTCTGTCCACGACACAGCCCTGGCTCTGCCTCTAACACAGGAGGAAGGCCACATCCAACCCCTGCAGGGTTTCTGAGCTCACGGGACAAGCCCAGCTGATGCCTGCCCGCAGTGGGAGTCTGGGCCCTGGGGTCCTGGGAGTCCAACGCCCACAAGGAGGCATCACAAGGAAGGGACGGCTACGCTCGCAGACCGCACACAGGATGTCACAGAAGGGCACACAGCACAACGTCCGCCAATGGGCTAACTACGTGATGGGACAGCCACTCGCTGGAATGTCATTAAATGAAGACTACCAGCGTGGGGTGGGGCAATGGGGAAAATTGGGATAAAGAGACGTATCCTGTGTGATCACAGAGGTTCACGGGCCCAGGGCTGGCAGACGACCAGGGAAGACGAGAGCTGCCAAGACCTTGAGGTGGGAGCTGAGGGGACGACTAGACAGCCATCTCTCTTCTTAACTGAAAAAAGGTAAAGGTCTAGAAAGCAGAGCATGGAGCTCTGGCCGTGCAAGGGGGAACACCAGGTTCAAACCCCATGTCTGACTTTGACCTCCTGCCCCAGGACCATGGCTGTGAACTGCTCCCTAAAAAGGCTGCTTCTCAAAACATGCCAGAGGGCAGGTATCTGGGAAAGGGGTGACAGGCCCAGAAGGGACCGCCAGCACTGCGGGGTGCGGGCGCACAGGGACGGTGTCCAGGCCGAGCACCTGCAGGGGAGCAGGGCCGACGGGAACCCTGTGGGAGGCGGTGGGGTTGCTGGGCAGGAGGGGATGCAGCCCCCGTGGAGGGCCACCCCCACCCCACACACGGGACACAGCTTACTCGTCTGTGATCTGTGAACACCAGGGAAGTCCACGGGTCTTAATGGCCACCGCGGATGGCAAAACAGAGGAAGAGCTACAGACAGGGGCCGACAAGCCCTGCTTTCTGTGTCTGGCAGTGGGGGCTAGACGCCGTGTCCACGGGCTCCTGGGGGAAGGAACAGCTTGTGGCCGTGGCGGGGGGCTCCCTGACCTGGCTGGTCCCCCTCCGGGCTGGAAGGGTGGGCAGCAAGGACCACTTCTGAGGCTGGAGGTGGCATCGCCTGGGGGTAAGTGGAGTGGCCGGTGCCGAGCTGACACGTCCCATGCGCCAGCTACTGGGCAAAGCCCTGCCCGCAGACGAGCCTTTCCTTAGCCCTCACGCTGACTCTGTGAGATCGGCCGTGGGCCTCTGGGGGGCAGCTGGCCCTCGACATGGCCGGCACTGCCTGACACTGACGCCCTTCCCTGGGGGCACGGAGGTCTGCCATCTCGGCTGCGGAGCTCCTTCATGAGGGCACCTGAGCCCCCCGGGGCCGGATGGGATGGACGAAGGGAGCCGGTTTGTAAAGCATGCAGGACTCGGCCTGGCAGGCAGGGGCCACTGGGTCCCTGCGGCTCTAGGTTTAGGAAGGCAGGAGCACCACACTGGGCAGCACAGACATCAGCACTGAAGGAAAACCCCGAACCCATCGGGTTAGTGCTGCTTTGCGCGTGCTAGCCATCTTCTTGTCACACTCCTCCCACCTACAACCTGCCAGCCCAGCTCATCCCTGCTGGTCCTCTCTCAACACGCTAAGTCACGTATGCCCCACGCATTCACGTGGTTGACGGCCCAGCGGTCCCCCGGGCTGTGTGCTCCCCAGCCCAGCCCCCGCCCGCTGCCCGGGCCCTTGGTCCCCCACCACTTCCCTCCCGATCTGCCTCGGGACACTCCGCGCTCACCCAGCCCGTGTCACCCCTAAACCGCCCCAACAGCTGGGGGCAGGGCACGTGAGGGACAGGAGACTCACCGTGCCCCCAACAGCTACCGTGTCACCGCTGGGGTGCACTGCCACCACTTCGGGCTCGTAGCCGGGGCTGTCGATGCTGAAGCACTTCTTCTGATCCTTGAGCAGGACGATCTGAAAATCACAGGCAGCAGTCAGGGTGCAGAGGCCGGCGACAGACCGCTCGGCCCCGCTCTGGGCCCTGTCCCGAGGCTTGCTGGGGGCGGGAGCCCTGTGACCCTGCATTGTGCTTCCTCCCTCAGCCGCTGGGGGCTGTGACTGTTCCTAGTCACAGCACTGTAGTAATTATCGGCTGCTGTCATCGTCACCACGCGCACCGGCTTCTCGGGAAGCCATCTGACGTCAAAACTTTCCATCTTCCTGTTACACAGTTCCACAGGAGCTCTGCCGAACGGCCTTCTCCTGAGGTTCAAAGGATGCAAGCATTTGGAAGAGCAAGGCTCTAAAGCAACACTGGGAACGAACAGGACACGCCGGAGTCTTAAGTTCTGGCATCCCAGGTCCAAAGAAAGCCCCTCCGCAGCTCCGACCCGCAGCACGTGAACATCCCATGTGGGCCAGTGTGCGCGTCTCGCACAGCTGGGGGGCAGTGCTGGTACCCATCTTCCACACGAAAACTGGGTCCCAGGTGGGGGCGCCAGCGAGCAGAGAGCACAGCCGGGCCCCAGGTCCACAGAAGCTTTGTTCCCAACCGGCCTCCCACCAGAGCACGACTGGTCCCAGGCAGCGGGGAGCACAAGACAGATGGTGCACAGCAAGGCGGCTGGACTGTGGCGCAGCGAGCCCTGTGCGGGGCTCCGCCCCAGCCAGCACCTCGCTTCCCTCCGACTCAGGGGAGGGGGGGCAGGACAGAGTCCCCAGGTGTCCAGGCCCTACTGAGGGCCCTGCGGGGTCTGGTCCTGGCTCGGCCGCCTACTGCATGTGGGGACAGCTCTGTCTTGAGCCTCAGCTTCCCGGCGTAGAAGAACCTGCCGGTGCCTACACATCACAAAGCTGGAATCCGACGTTCAGGGTAAATAAAGTCCCTAATAAAGGCAAATAAAAGTAGCAGCTAAGGTCCGCTGAGCATGAGACCCAGGCCTTGCTAAGAGTGCTGCACATATCCCGCCCCTGGAGACATCAAGATCACTACCCCCACCCCCATATGGACGAGAAAATGGGGTACAGAGTTACAACTTCCAAAACCAAGCTGGGGCTCGCGCCTGGGCCCCCTGGCTCCCGCGCGGTAACTTCTGCCCTCTGGTGCTCACAAGAGGCCCTCTGTACACGAGGACCCCCCCCGCGCCCTCCACCCCCACGCGCCCCTTGCTACCCCCTCCTGCTTCTAGCTCCTGGACTGCTCCCAGACAGCATGGCCTAGATCTGTGACAGCTTTGGCTTCATGCCACGGCACCCCTGCCCAAGCTACCAGCTGCCCCACGAAGGGTGGGCCGGCCCCTGCCCCCACTGTGCAGCGGCCTCCGCTTCTGGGTGTACTGTGGGGTGGGGGCTGGGGGAAGAGGACAGGGGTACAGGTGGCCGCACCCTCACTAAGACCTACCACTGAAAACGCAGCCCAAGAAACCCTCACCTGCCATCTGCCCGACTCAGGAAGTGCATGTACCTATCTGACTGGTGAGGACTAGGGGCACAAGCATTTGCTGAAACTTGCCCAAGACGTGAGACTCGAACCTAGCTGTTTCCCTTCCAGCACATTCTGCTGACCCTATAACCTGCAGTGAGGAGTTCTACGGAAGCCTCCTACCTGAAGTGGGGCAGGGAGTCTGAGTAGCAGTGTGGCACATCACAGAACAATCCTGCACTCCCCCACCCCTCCCCCGCGCAGCACCACAATGGCCCCTCTCTGACCCTCCTTTGTGCAGGCCCCGGAGGAAGGCCTGTCAGGACTGCCCTCCACCGACAGGAAACTGAGACCTGGAGACACGGAGCGCACCCCACAGAGCCGCAGCCCAGGCCCAGCCGTGCTCCTAGAAGGCTGCCTTTCAGGCACCCCCCCGCCCCCCCCGCTATGGCTCTCCACGCAGTTCATTCCTGTTGTTCCCCCACCGACCACCCAGGCTGCTGAAAGAAGTTCCTGCTATCTAGGACACGCAGAAAACCATTCTCCCCGAAGAACTTAAGTGAGCAGGATGGAGGATGGGCGGGGGACCCCGAACGGCAGCTGCCTTTACCAGAGTTGTCTCTCCTGCCGTTGGGGGCTCTGGCACACCTGCCCTCCCTAATCTACATGCCGGGATGTCCCAGTATGCTGACACCGCCTGCGCCAGAGCAAAGCCTTGTAGGAAGTGGGTCACGCCAGGGTCTCGATCAAGGGCGCTTTGTTCCAGAAATTCCAAAAGAAAAGGCGTATAGGTGACCTGTCTTGAATGACAAGCCAGGCCGCAGAGCTGGGATACCAAATGCCATTCTGGCCCCCGGCCATTGTGCGGCCTTGGGGAAGTCACCAGATCACTGTGCGCCTCGGCCCCGCTTAGGAAAGGAAGGTGCAACGCTGCAAGGAGCCTCACAAGCCCCCATGAGCTGCCAGGGAGGAGAAAAGCAGAGCTCACAGACGGTGAGGAGCATGCACGGATCACACAGCTTCAGGCCTCAGGGCTGTACCCCCGGCAGGCCCCCCCGGGCTGATGGGCACACGGGGAGGCTGATGCCTGACAGCCGTGCCCTCTGGTAGCTGCAGACCCTGGGCAAGCAACTTATGCCCCTGTGCCTGTCTCCGTGTCTACAGAATGGGGAGGACCCTGTGCTACCAGGGAGGCCTGCCGACGGAGCCAACACATGTGCACCCGGGGCTCGGACAGACACGTATCGGAGCTCCCGCTGCACGGGAGGCCAGGGGAGGTCGGAGGTCAAACGCCATGGCCCGCCAGTCCCGCCCTGCCGCCCTGCCCACCCTCCCCGCCACACCGAAGCAGAGCGTACCTGCCCAATGCACACGACCACAGCGTAGCCTCCGGGGCCCACAGCCACGCACTTGGGCTGGACGTCCATCTTCACAAGTCCCTGCCCACTGGTGCAGACAAGGGAAAACGTTATGTTCACGTCATGGGGGCTCGGCGTGCGGGTTAAGTACACACTCACCGCACACCCACAGCAGCTGCAGGGGCAGGAAGCAGAAATGCTAGTCCGTTCACACGGACGAGCCGTGAGCTAAAACCTGGGACGAGTGAGAATGGGCCCCCGGCTCCAGGAAAGAGATCGGAAATCACGCAGGGGGGGGGCGGGGGGCTCCGTCTCTGTGACCTGAGGACTGCCCATGGACCGCCCTGGGGCACCCCACCCTGCTCTCGTCCTGCACCCATTGGCCACAGACCCTGGCGACCCCTGGGTACAGATGGAACCAAGCCCACCTCCCACTCCCATGGTCACAGCCACTCTGCTCAGCAGGGTGACTCTTCTGAAGAATCGGATACTTTCACAGATGAAAATCAGGTCTTCGTTTTTGGCTAATGCCGTGAAAACACGCCCTGGAAAATCTTGCACAACCACAAAAACTTCTTGAAAACAGTGAACAAAGGAAAATCCCCCATGACCGGGCCAAGTGTGAGGTCTGGGAGGGCATCTGGGCTGAGATGTCGCGCCTGGCTTCCCAGGCAGAGTCTACACAGCTCACCGTCCACGTGAGCCACCCGGACTCTCACCCAGCCCCCGGCCGAGAGCCTGGCACAGGAGGAGTAGTCGGGGGGAGAAGCGAGAAGAGCAAAGTGCCATCGAGAGCCGGAAGCAGCGTGGGCAGAGGGTCCCTCTTCCGGGGTGCACTGTGGACCCGGGCCCCCGGCAGCCCTCACCTGTAGTCCCTCAGCATGAGGTTCGTGTACCGCACCGTGTCGTCCATGCTGCAGCTCACCAGCTGCCCGGACTCGTCCACCGTCATCCTGGACACCTGGTTCGTGTGGCCCTTCCCGGCGAAGGAGTCATTCTCCCCCGTCTCTGAATCCCAGTAATGTGGGGCAGCGGTTAAGGAAAAGCCGCCTCCAGGACATGGCGCAGGCCCCACCGGGGAGGCCTGGCCGTCCCTCCTTCAGGGCAGCGTATGTGGGACGGGGAGCACGGGGCCCGAGGGGACGTCTAGGGCAAGTCTAAGTCCGAATTCCAGCACGTTCTGGTGACAGTCAGCGGGCCAGAGGTCACACCGAGCGATGAGCAGTCCGGCCGGACCCCCTGCAGCAGCCGGCACGGAAGTGTGCGGGTCCCCACTGGCTGGCGGTGCACATGGACCACAGCCCGGCGGCGGCGAGCTCCTGCAGCGAGGGGACAGCTCTTCACTGCGGCGCCGCGCCACCAAGCCCACGTCGCCCTCTGTGTCCTGCAGCGTGCCGTCAAGCCCGTGACCATCAGCAGGAGGCTGGCTGTGCCTCCCCGCTCAGAGGGTGGCCAGCCAGGTGCCGCTAGGTGCCGCCGGGGCTGACCCACCCTGGCTGGGCTGGTTTACACACTGTGAGGTGGAGGTGCTCAGCGGGGCGGAGTGCTTTAAGTGAGGAGACTTTTCTTTTACACAAACACCTGAAAATCTCATTTCAAATAAAGATTATTATTGACTCTAGAGCGCCACAGGTATGCTGCACGGCCGACATGCTCTTGTGATGGGAGACCCCAGTGCTTGATACCCAAGGAAACGTAGCTATCTGAGCATCAGAGTTCACACCAGGGCAGCTGAAGACGACATGACTGCAGACCGGCACGCCACTCCAGAAGGGGCAGATTCTAGAGCCTTCTCTGCCCCTATTATCATGCAGCCCCCACCATACACTATCCTCCTGACATTTAATGGGGCAGAGGATGACGTATCTGCCCTCCTACCCCAGGGCTGTGGGGAGACCTCCCTAGCTGGAGCTGTCTTGTGAAAACTGCAAAGCCCTGCAGGGATGCGTGAGCCTGCACCCCAGCACCCCACAGACAACAGTCCTGGGAGGAGGGGGAGCCCCAGGCCACAAACACAGAGCGGGGACTGTAAAAGCTGCTTCACATGCCTCCAGGGAAAGTCTCACGGGACCGCAAAGAACCTCAGCAGAAGGGAGATTGCGGTTCCAGTCCCAGGGGCCGCCGACAAGCGGTGTGACTTTGGGGAAGGCACTTGAGCGTTCTCAGCTTCTGTTCTCCACTTTTAAAACAAGAGGAACAATACTGACAGGTTCTAGGTCCTACTTAATCCTAAGATTCCTGACTCACGGCTCCTGAGAGGGATCGGGCAGCACTAGGGGCCCAAGCGGGGGCAGCAGCTCGACTCAGAGCTGAACAGCCACTTAACAGCTACACAGAGAGAAGTGACCCATCGGGTCAAGGCTGCAGCACAGAGCCAGGGGCCCCCAGCATGAACACGGCCTGCTGGTCGGAGCCCTGCTGCCGCCACCTGGCTGGCCTGGCCTTTGGCTCCACGGGGACAGAACACTCCCACCTCTCCTGTCAGTGGCCCCGGAGCCAGCTCTGTTAGTCAAAGGATATTAATGTGTCCGTCGTGGCTCCCGGAGTAGATGTAGGACTTGCCGCCATTTTTATGCACCGTCAGACACTGGATGGATTTGCTGTGACCCTGCGGAGGACATGGACGGGGCAGGGTGAGCTGAGAACACACCATCCTGTGTCTGCAACCTGCCAACCGCCCTCCACTGACTGTGCCCCTGGGGGATGAGGCAGAAGGCCCTTCACACCGCGGCGGACGTCCGTGCCGACACCCTGCAGCCCCTCCGTGTGCCCGAAACCCCCTTCCATGAGCCGTGGCCAGCTCTTCCCCAGCTGACTGGCCATCTGGCAAAACCTCATCATGCAGCCCTCCCCTCCTGGGACCCAACCTCAACCCTGGCCAAGGATGGGATCTAATAAAACCCCAGGAGCCAAGGGCATGGTCCATGCAACTGACCCTGGCAATGCCCCCGAACGGGGGAAAGGCTGCTCACGCCCGGCAGACAAGGGGGAACCCCAACCCCGAGCTGAGCCTCCGTGGAGCGGAAGCAGCAGTTAGCAGAATCAGTCGCAGGAGGGCCTAATGCTCACTCACAGAGGCAGGTGGGGGGACATCCGGGCCCTGCAGGGACCCAGGGAGACCTCCTGGCCACCCAGAGAGAGACCCAGACAGTCCCGGGGTGCTGCTGACAGTCTGTTCTCTCCCCAGAACCGGAACATACAACTCTAGCTTCGACTCCTGGCTGGTGAGGTTTCTTCTTTCCCAACACGCTGCTCCCCACCCAAGCTGTCGGAGGGCCCTGACCCCCAAAACCTCTCTGACTCCTCTGCAGCCAGCCCCCCCACTACTGGGGGGACACGTAACCTCGCTGTAACTGCTCCTGGGGGCCTGGGGTGGGCGGGTCTCTGTCTGGTCTCTCCCAGCAATGCTCCGCGGCCAGGTGGCACAATTCTGCACAGGCCTCGCCCCAGGAGCTTCCCAAGCGTCCTGCGGGGTTCCACTTGTTGCCACGCCGTGGCAAGAAGCTTCGGAGGAAGGTTCACAGTTCTCAGGGAACACACTGGGTCCTTTCGACCTCACGTCTCCTTCTAGGACAGAGTCCGTCAGCCCTGATAATACTTAAGGCGTGGTCCTCAGACCAGGTCGGCCCCACTGGGCATCCCATCTGTGCATCCTGAGGACTCAGGACCTGTACCCGGGGAGATGCCTGGGGACTCCATGCATGTGCCCTGCCTGGGGCCACAGCCTCACCCGGGGACTTGTGAGGAACCTGAGCTTGCATGTGCCCCACAGATGTCCCCAGACGAGCCCAGCTGCCGTGTTTGAACAAGCTGCCTCTCAGCTGAGTCTGATGGACCTTCTAGCTTGCAACCACTGCTCCAGCTACACATCAGAATCCCCGGGTGTGTTTTAAAGAGGCACCAACAGCGAGAGCCACCCCTAGAGTTTCTGACCAAATCCCTCTGGGGCAAGTCCAGTTCCAAGGCCTCCCGGTCCTCCTTCAGGCTCTCCAGGGACCCAGCCCTTTCTCAATCTCAACGTGCAGTAGGGCTGAGAACTACTAGTCTAACTCTGGCCTTCTCCTGGGCTCCCATGTGTGGCTCAGACACCTCTGCAGCGCGAGATCAGCACCAAGTACACCCTGGGATTCACGCACACACGCTGTGGCGGGAGTGGGAACAGGAGTTTCTTTTCTAACTGTAAAAGCCCACAGAATTCCCCAAGCTGGCCTGGGTGCAACAGAAGCCCAGCCTGTAGCTCCTGTGCTTTCGGTGGGCCGTGGGAAACTGCTCTTCTGGGCCCAGGTGGGCTGACAGCAACGCCTGAATCTCTCAAGGAATTCTCCCCATCACAACTGGAAGCCCAACAAAGTGACTGTGTCCTGCGATGGCCCCTGGCTCCGTGCCAGGCCATATACACCCACATGACACATGCACCACGCCAGGCTGGGAGCCCATCAAGGAAGAGGTCCCAATGCCCCGTCCTTGGGGCCAAGCGGGGGGGAAGCGTCATGAGAGCAGAAGGTGTGGGGCCAGCAGTGAGGACAGATGCTGCTGTTATACCAGATTGGTCCTCCCCCGCAAGCCACATCCCCTCCTGAATGGGACACAGCGGCTCCCACCTAGGCAATGCCTCCATCAACTCCTGGGCAGAAACAGGGTCTGCACGGAGTGGCACCAGCCGGCCCTGTCCTCAGGGAGCGCCTAGGTCCTCACCTGGCTGCTCGTTTCCTGACAGGGAGAGGGCACGTCCCCCACCCCCCTTCAGAAAAGGGGCACCCAGGGCAGACTCGGCATCAGCTGCCCTGAGGAAGCCCTCCAGGTGACAGGGATGGAAGCTGGGGAGGGGTCCCAGCATCTCCCATCGCTCGCTGCTGCACAAACTCCCACCCGAGCACTCGAGGCATCTGTACCTCAGGGTCCACCTGTTTCTCCGAACTCATTCCCTCCCATGTGCTGTCTCTGCTCAAACCACATAAAACTCAAGGCCTCCTCGAACTCCATCCCATGTTTGAATGCCACATAATGCCCAGGTCCAGTCCCAAGGCCTCCTGGTCGCCCTTCAGGCTCTCTGCTGGTCCTCCATGTCTGTGGTGATGCTCTTGGGGCCCCGTGTGTTCCAGCTGTCAGCTCCTAACTGAAGGAGGCTATTCTCCCCAGGACATGGGGACCCTGACAGCAGGGGGAGGGTCACTGTCCACAGCCCCAAGGCCCTGAGCCCCCGGTACTTCTAGAAGCTCAAGGGGAACTCGGCACCAGCCTCCCACTTCTGCTAAACACACATCCCAAAGCAACTAGCATCCTGTCATTGCCCAAACCCCCAGGGCTGCTTCCCCCTGGGCCTCACGCAGGTTCTCCCTTTTCCTCGCTGGGCGCCCACCTCTGCCAACCCCTTTGGACAGAGCCAATGCCAGCACAGCCTTACCTTGATGACCCGCAGGGGCTTGCTGGGGTTGTTTTTGTCTAGGTAATTGATGTACCCAGACAGGGAGATGCTAAGGAGGTGGTCCTTCTGCCACAAGCAGCCCAGCTGCTGGTCCAGAACGGTGGAGCCCATTGTAAACGTACTGACGACAGAGTTCACATTGACGTCCCAAATCTTCGAGGTTTTGTCTCCAGAAGCAGAAAGCAAATGGGTGCTATCAGGGCTCCAACTGATCTACTCAAAGGAAACAGCGGGCCACGTGTCAGCAAGCACAGAATGGGAAGGGGCCTCAGGAAGCAGCCTGCCCACAGCCCCCACTTCTGGGCAGGGAGAAGCCACGGCGGGGGTGGGGGACCTGGTGGGACCGGTGTCCAGGCCCCTACTCCGGCCACTGGCTTCTCCAGGCCACGACACCCCTTCTGTGTGACCCCGAAGCTCTCCACCGCCGCCCCTACCTCAGCCCCCTCACACTTCACGCTTCTGACTCCAAGCTGTATCCGGACGACTGCACACATAGACAGGGCCCCACCATAGTCGCCGACACGCTCATACAACACGGATCCGTACTCACAGCGTAAATGCCTCCGTCGTGAGCCTTGCCTCCTCCCAGGGCACACACTTTCTCCCCCGTCTTTCCATCATAGATGTAAATCTTTCAAGGAATAACACACACGTGGGTCACAGGTGGGAGGGCGCACACCAGCTGGCAGGCAAAATGAGCTCTTCCTCGTCCCTGCTCTACCGTCAAGAGTTTGCTACTGTGACTCTTAAAAAAGGAATCTGAAAAATGTGCTAACAGGCGCAGTTTCCAGCTCCATTTAAAAGGAGAGAGATGGAAAGGGGGACACCAAGCTGTGATGACACAGCCCGGGAACCGAGCACCTCCCAGGAATGGGATGGAGGGAGAGTCCGAGTTCCTCCTGGGAAGACTGGCTTTGGGAGGCTGGCCTGCCCTGAAGAGCTGGGAGGCGGTCAGATGAGCCCCCACCGCCCCGGGCCCCAGCCCTCACCTGACCATCTGCGCTGGCCGTGGCAAATCTGTTCCCATCAGGAGAGAATCGCACACAGTTGACAAAGCGGCCGTGGTCCTGCAGGAACGAGCAGAGTAATGCACCTGATGACAGGAGACTCCGGAAAGTTCTTTACGAAAAACGCAATCTGCTTCAAACATCTGCTCCGGCTGCCAATGTGAACTGTCAGTCCACAGGAAGACCTCAGAGCTTAAATAAAAACAAGCCCGAAGCAGCTCCTGACTCACTGGGAGGTCTGTGTCAGCCTGCCTGCCTCGGCCCAGGCCCGTCTGTGCCCGGAAGGCCGTCCCGTGCTAGGTCTCCCATTCCCATGCTTGGTCGGATGCCTGGGCTTCCCTCATCCCACAGAGCAGAGCCCAGACAGAGCCAGCTCTCTTCCCTCAGAGCCCCAGCGGTAGCTCAAGCCCAGAACCCTAGGCCTCTTCCCCAAGTCTCCAGGGCCCAGCATACAGCAGGTGCTCAGTGGGATCAAGATGGAGCTGAGTTAACGGAGGTTTTAAAGAAATTAGACAGTGGTCTTGCACTTCCAGGGAGTAAGACTCCAGATGACCTCCAGGGATGATTCCCTTTACTCAAGATTCATTCTTTCCTCCATCAAGGGTTTGCATAAGAAAACATCCTCTAACACCCCACACCCCCTCGCCTACCTCTAAGAAGCACCCCTCGAGTGAACTTAATAATATTAACTCTCCTCAAGGAAGGAAGGGTTAAGGGCTTCTGGGGTATAAACACCTAACCTTCAGGAAAACCCGCACCCATCACCTGCCCCCACAGCGCCCTCCAAGGCCAAGCACTGAGTCAACTTAAGTCAGGAGCTGCTTCTGGGAAGGCTCTGCACGCGTCTGTGTGACATGAGGGGCTGAGTCGTGCTGAAATCATGCCACCTGTGAGCAGAAACCTCCTTAGGCCAAGAGAAGAGGGTCTGTGTGGATGCAGTCGAGGTACGATGAAGTCCTCCGGGCAGACCTAACGCTCCAATGAGGGCGATCAGGACGGACACAGACAGGGAGGAGAGAGCACGTGAAGATGGAGGCAGACTGGGAGGACGCTCCTCGAGCCGAGGAGTGCCAGGGGACAGGATCTGGAAGGGGTCGGGGGAACACGAGCCTGCTGACACCTGCATCTCAGGCTCTGGCTTCCAGAAACAAGAATAAATCCCTGTTGAAGCCCCTGGTTTGTATGTAGTCCTTTGCTGTGGCAGCCGCAGGGAACGAGCACACGGAACACCATCATCTGTAATGCTCCTGGCATAATAACCCTTCAAGGACACTGTGCTCACTGCACTGCGAAGAAACTCAGGCCAGGAAGAAACTGGGGCCAGGATCCCGAGGAGGGGAGCCACAGAGCCGGGTTTGGAGGAACCCATGTGTCTGCGAAGTCCAACTGGGAGGCTGAGCAGAACAGTCGCCCCTCAGTTGGGGTTTCCCTGGTGTAGGCAGCTCTCGTCTTGGAGACATGAGACTGTGATCTCTGCCCGCGGACTCTTCCAGGCCAGGCACCTCGGGCCCCGGGCGATTCGGTCCAGAGCTGGAGCACAAAGCCAGCCCCGCATGCTGCTCTTTAGCAATCACACCACTTCACTCAGCTGACAAGGCCAGAAGCAGCCAGCCCTTCATCTCCCTCAGAGGGATTCCCCCACAGGGGTGGGGACAGGAAAGCCTGAGCACTCTGAGCCCAGTGACACTGGGGATCCACACAAGCCGGCTTTCCTTTCTGCCTCTTTTTGGCAAGCACCGTTGTGGGGCGGCAACTTTGCTCTGACTCAAGAGCCTGACCTCTGGGGCATCATCATCAGTGTCCGTGGCAGAGGTGCGATGGGTCACGGCTTCAGCCTGAACTTGGCTCTGGTTTTGGGACCGCTGGGAGGCAGTTCCCATTACTAACATGCCACCCACCTGGCTCCCGGGGCCCAGCCTCAGCCAGGCCAGGTCTGCAGGGTGACACCAAGGCCACGGACTGGAGTTTCTTGTGTGTGCTCATCTGTGTGAGGGCTGACCTTCCATGCTCCAAGGTCTGGCCCCCATGTTTTAGAGCAGGCGCAACCTGCCAATCTGAACCACAGTGGAAGGAATCTGCTTCCCAAATTGCGATCTCTCAAGCCCTCCAGAGTGCTTCTGCCTCCACCATGGTCACCTGTCACCCACTACCTCACCACTGCGAGGGCCCTGGGGAGCTTCCAGGCACCTCCCAGGAGACAAGCAGGCCCAGAGGGAACCTGGGTCTCCGGTTTCTCTTCCAGAACACTGAGTTTAGCTGCACTAGCTCTGGGGCCTGGGCAGGCCGGGCACCTGCTGGTGGGGAGCCACCCAGGTCAGATCCTTAACTCCCCAGGCCAAATGCCACCGTGGTGCCAGCCAGGCTCCCCAAGAACTGACTGGGGTGCTGAGAGAGCGCACAACAAATGGAGCAGACCCTGGGCTAAAGAAGTCGCTACAGTGGGATGCTGATCCCCCTTCACTGGCCATAAGGAATATGCCAGGAGTTAGATGGTCGGCCACCACTCAAGAGAGAACAGGACGTTCCTGTTCTCCGTATCCCAAGCCTAGCTCAGGGAAGTCAGGTGCCTTCCTGAAGGGCGGCACCAGACACCCAAGCCCCGTACCTGCCCACGTCCACCCAGTGGCCAGAGCGACCCCATTATGAGGCCGCTGCCTCTCCTGAGAAAGGCCTTCTCCCCTGACCACCGACCGGCCCCTGTCTCTCCCGATCCGACTCCACCCAGCACTCGGCATCCCCGATATTACAGGGGATGTCACCCATGATGGGCTCGTGGCCCTCCTCCTGGATGGAACGCCGCATGGCCCTCCCCAGGCCCTGGAACAAGGCAGGCTTGTGGGAAAGCCTGGGTTTAGTGAGGGCCAGAAAGAGCAGATGCCCCCAGAGGACCAGGCATTGCGTAAACCCAAGGCCTTTGGCTTTAGAAACTCCTCCCTGTCAGCTTTTCCTGCAGCTTGAGCCAAGAGTCCAAATGAGTAGGAAACTGATGTCTGCTCCTGAAATAGCCCACTTAAAGGGAAACAGCAGTGAACAGCTCATTAACCAAAAAAGTTAGGGCTAAAAATAGCCTGTTCCACAGGGAGGTGAGGCCTGAGTACAAAGGAACGGGTCTCTGAGGAATCATCACGGTGTGGCGGGGGAGGGTGGGATGGGAAGGGTTCAGACACCTGACGGGCTTCTTCCGGCTGTCCAACCCAGTAGCCACCTACTGAGCTGGGGCTCCCAGCCCCTGGCCCGCCCCACACTCCCTGGACGAGTCACAGCACCATCCTGCAGGCCTAGCTCACTCAGGCCATCCCCTGATGTGGAAGGCCCTTGGTGTCCGGTCTACCCCTGTCGGCCCATCAGTCACAGCCGACACTCACTGCAGCTCTGGCGGGGACTGTGTCAGCGGATCCTCCCGAGAACCCCCCACTGTCACTATCTCTCCCCCATCATCACCTGACCCACCATCACCCCCTCTGGACACTGAGAACAGAGCCATGAAGCCATTAGGTAATAAGTAATGTACCTGAGGCCCCGTCACTGATAGGCTCAGAGCACCACAGGGCTCTGTGGCCTGGCTCCAGCGAGCACAGGCAGACGAGCTGGTCCGCTCAGGTGTCCCCTCTAGGAGCCCCCCCCCCCCCCGGTTTCACTGGCCCCAGCTGTCCTCTGAACATACAACTGCTCCTAACCCTCACACTGAAATGCCCCGCCCACCTGTCCTGCTGCCCATCCCGAGCTCATGGAGGGAGAACCGGCTTGGACGCCTGTGCCCACCTCCTCGTCCTCCCTGAGCATGGCACAGGCCTCCACAGCTGGTGCTCTGAAAATGGGCTTCTGTCCTCCCCTGAAACCCTGCCTCGCTCCTTCAGTCCGCCGCCCCCTCCACTCCTGCGCCTGCTTCAGTGTGGCTGAGAGACACAGAAGGGCCCCCACTCCTGCCGCCCTGGCCAGGCCACTCACCCCGCCGTCAGCCACAGTGGGGCAGGAGTAGACCAGGAAGGAAATGGGGGGAAGGAGACCTGCCCCGCTGACCCCCAGCATGACCAGCACTGATACACCCACAGCTCTCTGAAAAGCCAGACCGGCAGGTACAAGGGCGGGAGGCGGAATGGCTAAGGACGAGGCAGGGCATTCTGTGGGCCCAGCCTGGGCCGGAACAACGCAGGCCCCCAATACACGCCGAAGGACCGACACTGCTGCTTTCTGCCCTGCTGTGAGTCAGGGAACAGGGAAAACACCACCAGAAAAGCCTGCAGAGCAGAGCTCCAGTTTTACTTACCTGCCTAGAAAGGCAATGCTTCTACTAACAGCCAAGATAGGTTTCTAGCCCAACTCCCCTCCGCTGCGTGGAAGGAAGTGAGACACCCCCCGCTCAGCGCCGCCCGTGATGGGTGAGACCACACAGGTGGCAGGGGAAAGCCCAGGAGCGGCCGACCACGCTGCACAGCACGCCCGGCTGGAGAGGAGACCAGGTGTCCCCTCTGCCACAGGTGGGCGCCGTGCACGCTCAGAAGCTCAGGCAGGATGTTCCCACTTCCAGATCACACGGCCACAGCCTGGACAAGCCGGCCCGGGCCACACAAGTGCCGCCTAAGCAACCGCTGAATCAGACAAACTATCCTATCGCCGCAACACGTGGCTGTGGGACAGGCTGTGGACACAGTGTTCTCAAGTGCTTGCTCCAGAAGGGGCGTCCATGGTCGTCCCTGACAGAAGAGGAAGCCCAAGGCCAGAAGGGCGCTGAAACCTGCCCAACACACCCATGGGCAAGGTGCACAGACAAGGCAGGCAAGCGAACAATGCCTCGGTCGCAGGGACGTGCTCCGAAGGAAGAAATTCCTGCTGCAGAGGCTGAAGTAGGTAAGGGCCCACCTGCCCCTTCTTTCTTGGATCCTCCAAGGGAACCTCAACCTTTGTCCACAGAACGCCAGTGCCAGAAGCAGAGACAGTGATGCCCCAAGCCTCCACCCCACACCCGGCCTCCTACGATCCTGGGGAAGTCACCTGCCCAGGTGGCCCATGGCATCTGAAATGAGGGGGGCTGGGGCCTATTCCAGTCAAGGTTCCTCCACCCCATCTTCCTGCAGCCTCTGGAGCCCACAGCAGGTTCAGGCAAAGGAAAACAAATGCTGAACTGACAGCCCGAGGGCCCAGCAGAGCCTGGCTGAAGCTGATCCTAACTTAGCTCCGGAGGATCCAGGAGTCTACACTCACTCTGCACACCATGAGCAGCCAGCTTAAACCAATAAGCTCAAGAACCAAAGAGAAAAGTGACCGGACGCCCCCTGCGGGCCAGCAGGATGGCCAGGAGGGCTGACTGAGTACGTTTGGTCCCTCTGGCTTGTCCAAAACCCTGCTTTCACCTCCCCTTGCGTTCGTGCACCACCTGCGTTTTATTCTAGCACGTACTGAAAATGAGAGCACAACTCAGTGTTTCTCAAGGCGGCCACTTGAGCTCAACCCCTCTGTGCTCCTGACATGCTCACCCCTTGTCCCCCAGCCTCAGCCACGGTGCAGAGGGAGACAGCGAGAAGCTGGAGCCTGGATGGGCAGGCAGCCAGCCACCCACTCCAGCTGCACTCTGGGGCTCTGAGGGTCCAGCGCAGATATACGTGCATAAGTCAGACTGATCTACATAGTTGTCAATACTTGACGGGACATTCTGGGTGGGTGTGGGGCCCTGAGTGCTCTCCCCACCCTTCATTCGCTGGCCACCTGAGCCTGTTAGAATCTTCTCCAACAGAAGCCCAAAGATCTCCTAGTGGACACTCCGATCTGACGTCCGCCAGCATCTCTCGTCCTCCCACAGGTCTACGGGGCCAGCAGAGGACAGTCGTCACCGTCCCATCTCCCGAAGGGACCCGGACACGCCACTGGCCCATCCAAGGGTCACAGAGCCAGCCAGCTGTGGCTCTGGGCTACCACCCAGCATCCCCCACTCCTGGTCTGCAGCCAGGTCCTGACGCAGGACCCATGGGTGACAGGCTCCACAGGCAGACCTGAGGACAAGCTGTGTGCCCACCCTGGACACAGGTACCAGCTGGACTAATGTTTGTACCTGACAGCCCTGGGCCGGGGCCTTGGGGTGAGGGCTGTGTTCTCACGTTAGAAAAGAAAACGGAAGGAGAAAGATTATTCTGGCCAAGTCCCCAAGTGAGCACATGGAGAAGGCCGGCAGTGTGCTGGTCACAGGCTCGAGCCGCCTGGGCTCAAACCTGGCTCTGCTGACTCACTGCTGAGCTGCTCCGGGCTGGGTGTAGTCTACATCTGCAAAGAGGAAGTGATCCCTCCTGGGGCAGGGAGAGGTGCCTCACCAGCCCACAGCCCGTATCACGCCAAGTGACATCAAACAGTGCGGGGGTGGAGGGGGACTTGGGAGCAGGGACAGCTTCACTGAGACATGCAAGGACAGCCTCCTGTTGCCACAGAAACCTCTTATCTCCCTCTCTTCCTCTCCTGGGCACAAGGCAGGATGCTCAGTTATCTGACGCATCTCATGGTACCTCTACCTGCACTTAGTAAACACTGACCCTGAACAGCCTTCGACAAAGCCCCCACCACCTACCAACCGGGCAGCAAGAACCGGAGACGGTTCAGGAGCAGGAGACGGCCACAGGAACTGCTGCAAAGGGAGCTCTGAGCTGCACACCCCGCGGGGCAGAGAGCCTTGCTGGACTTCCTACGCAGCCGCCTGGCCCTGCTCAGGGGTCCTGGGGACGGAACGGAGTCTGTTTCACCACCGGCAGAGTAGGAGCCCCTCTGTACCCGAGCCAAGATCTGCACTGGAGATTCTGCCCACCACCCGAGTGCCACCCTGTGGGGAACCTGCCGAGGAAGTGGCATCATCCTTTCTGGCCATACCCTGCCCACGGTTTATGAATCACTGTGTGCAGTCATCAAAGTAAACAGCGGTCCCCACAGAGCATGTGAATCACTGTGTGCAGTCATCGAAGTAAACAGCGGTCCCCACAGAGCATGTGAATCACTGTGTGCAGTCATCGAAGTAAACAGCGGTCCCCACAGAGCCACTTTAAGGACAGTCTCTCATTTCATCCTTGATGAGGGAGGACAGGGAACTGCTCTGGACCCGTGGGCAGCCGTGAAGTTCATGGTTAAAATGCACTATATTGATGCCCCCATACCCACCTTGTAGATGAGAAAAATAAGGCTTAGGTTCAGACCCTTGTCCCAACCAGGGAGCAGGGGCAGAGCTGGGACACTCTGCTAAGGCATTCAGACATGTGTCTTCTACAGGAAAAGCATCTAACTCTCCTCATCCCGTGTCCCATTCAAGCTGTGACCCTGCCCTCATCATCTCACAGGAGGAGACGAACCCGTGTGTCCCTGGAAGCTCACCACCTCTACCACCTGGCTGGCTGAGCAGGTCTCAAGCTGGCAGAACCAGAGCCAAGCTTGGGCTACCCCTTTCTAACAAAGCTCCTTTAGGCCAGGACACTCACCTGGTCACAGGGCATCAGAAACGTGTCCTCCCTGCAACCCCAGAAACACACACGTCTCCCAGGGTGGGTCCCTCCTTGTTGGAGGTGGCCCCACCGGCCAGAGGGTTAGCGTGCTGTCCCACCATCACGTCACGTTCCCCCGCAAACCCGTCTACACGTCACAGCATAAATGACATGTGCCTGCAACCCTGCGGGTCTAGACCGCCGGTTTCACATGCAAACCACCCCCTAAGGGGACGTCCACTTACGCCAATTGTAAACTTGAACTTGAACGGTGGCCCCTCAAAGAACGCGGCACAGTTATCGTCACTGCCCGTGGCCAGCCGGTACGGTCTGCTCTGCTTGATGTCCACGCTGTTGATGACTTTGTTGTGTCCCGTGATCTCGCCCACGGAAGAGCCACTGTCCCACAGGAAGACGGCTCCAAACCTTCACCCGAAGAGAGGAGTCACAGGAAGAGGACAATCAACCCTCGGGATGGTCGATGAGATGCGGGCAGCTCAGAGCGCGGCAGGGTTGGGGGGAGGGGTGCTCACGGCCACGCTTCATGCACACTCGCTGAAGGAGCAAACACGAGGCACCGTGGTTTCGGCTCTGTGCCGTGTTTGTCAAAGAATCTGAGAACGAGTGCCTTTGGGAAGGGGTGGATGTCTGCGTCTATATGGTCCAGGGCCAACAAGTCTCCCACCTGCCGGGGGAACAGCTCTGTGGCTTACCAGTTTCCTAACAGTTGTACTGGACCAAGGTATTTAGCAGCTACCATCCCCTACTAGAAAGGACAGGATGCCTTGCTCTCAGCTGGCATCCGATGAACACGCCACTGCAGGGGTTACCTTTTGTGTCCGAATGAAAACTGAATGGTTAAGACCAATAGGATGACCTGAAAAACTATGGCAGAACACCTGCCAGAACACACGTTAAAAATAGCCTCTGAGTAAGGGAAATGAGATGCGTGCCTGCCAAGCCCCTGAAGCTGCGTGGTGCCCTGGGGGGAACCCTGCACTGTGGCACTGACCCTGCTGGTCACTGGACCCGGGTGCAGCAGCCACTGAGGGCCACCAACCCCGCCTCCACCGGTCCCCTCTTCCTTCGGAAGGTAACCACCTTCGGTGACGTGCCCACCTCCCCTGCAGCCAGGTGTGGCTGTGTGATACGCTGGGAGGGACCCCAGTGATGCTCCCGGAGGTCCCTTTCCCCTCCTTTCCTGCTGCCTGGAGTGTGGGCATGATAGCTGGCACTGCAGGAGGTGAGCGGTCAGGGACGTCAGACAGAAAGGGAACGGGCCCGGCCCCAGGGGGCCTCAACACACACTAGTCCAAGCTGGCGCAGAGGTGCCCGCTCCCTTCCCAGCAGGGGCACCCACAAAAGAAGGCAGGGCCAAGGCACACGGGCAGGGAGGGGCCGAGGCCAGAGACTCACTTCTCCCTTCCTTCTCCGACCACTGCGATCCTCTTACTGTCTTCTGTCCAAGCAATGTCCTTGATCTTCCCAGCGAAAGGCTGATACTCATACTTTAAGAGGTGCTCCTTCTGCGTGGTATCCCAGATCCTCAGCTTTCCAGATACATCTGTGGACACAAAGGGTGGCGAGAGCCATGTTCATCCCTGGGCCCAGGCCGTGTGGGCACAAGGCACGCCCATGCAGCACGGCCCAGGGGCTCACAGGCTTGCTGCAGTTGCCCAAGGCCTCATTTCAAGTGAGCAAAATGTGCCACCGGTCCATCAGAGCCTGCGGCCTCTGTGAGGCCCATGACTGGGTCCCTGCAGTGCACCAGCCATCTCCTGGATGACAAACCCTGTGTGGGCACGAGAAAGCCGAGACACACGGAGGCACGCCCCAAGGCATCAGGCAGCAGTCTGGTTCTATGATTCTAGTCTCCCCGCAGGGGGATCTAAATGGCGTACGAGCCTCCGGCAGCCTTCTGAACGCTCGGGACTCAAGTTCTTCGTTTGCAAAATGTGACAAGACTAGTGACAGCCGCCTCTCCCACGCAGTGACTGCGCTAACAAGGAGCGGAGCTGTGTGCAGCCGGTGCACGCCGTGACTTGCACACGGCCCCCGCCTGGGCTCCCCTCCAGCTCCTCGCCCGCAGCCCCCACATCTACGGCGACACACATGCCACAGCCCAGACGAGTGAGGTGAGAGGAGCCCTGTGGGAGGCTCGCAGGTGGGTGCTGGAAGGCGAAGTGGTACTACAGACAGAACGCGAAGCCACGCCTCTCCTTGGGGATTAGTAATCAAGTGACTTCGTGGGAGGGAGAAGCACACCCCTCCCTTCCCGGCAGGATCCCGTCACCAAGATCTGAGACCAACCCCGACACAGCCCTTCCCAAAAGAGCACCGAATTCCCAAATCAGCATGAAGATGGAGGATTTTACACTAACTCCTCAGCCCAGACTGGGCCTGGGGGGAGGTCCTCCCAGTAGGTAAGCTCTGGGGGGTTCCCAGGGTCCCCCCCAGGCCTCTTTAGCACTTAACACAGACCCTCCAGCTGCTCTGTGAGCCCAGCTTCTGTCCTCCCGCTTGGGCCGCAGAGCTGAGGGAGGAGGAGGCTGCACGGGGTTCCAAGGGTACGAATACCTTACACCTACAACTGCACCAACCAGAGGGGGAAGGACAGGGCCACTTCTGGGGGGACTGATGCGAAGGTGACATGAGTTAGCACGTGTGAAGTCTTACACTAGCACTGGGTACGCTGTAGGCGCTCGCTGCAAGCTGGTCATCACTCGCCAGGAACCAACTAAGGCTCTGCAGGAAGCCGCTGGAGACCCTCACAGCAAACACCCGCACCCACAGTCTGCAGGGCCGACAAGGGGAGACCCCCTGCCATGTGAAAAGCACAACCTGAGGGGTCCCGAGGGTGCTGGGCCTCTCTGGGTGAGGTCCAGGAAGGCTGCCTGGTCGAGGCGAGTTCCAAAGATGACCTGGAACTAGTTCGGTCCCTAACAAACAGGCCAGCAGGAAAGGCAAGGAAGAGGCAGACGCTGGAGCATCAGAAAGGACACGTGTGCACGTGGGGTCGTGTGCACACTCACGCACACGCCAGGCCGTGTGGTCGGCTGGGCTGAGGCCGGTCCAGGGGGCTCTAGAGTCCTGCACAGTGTCTACAGCTCAGGCTGACCGTGTCCCACCGTCTCGGACAGGACGGAGCCAGCTTGCCCGCCTCCCCTGGGCTCTGCCAGTCCCTGCCCGCCTCCTTGGGGCGTTCAGGCTCCTCTCTGGGCCGGGCACGGATCGTTTCTCCCACGGCCTCCCCACCAGACCCCCCACCTCCCCCGGTGGGCCCTGCTTGTCCATTTAATCCTTCTTTTGTTTCATCTGAGGGAAGCTGACAACGTCACATTACTTGCAGGTGCACAACCTACTGACCTGACAAGTTCATCCGTTACGCTGCGCACACAGGTGTAACCACCATCTGTCCCGCCCCTGCTATTAACGACATCTGCGACTGTGTTCCCTGTGCTGCGCCCTTTACCCCCACGACTCGCTCACTACTGCACACCTGGGAGCCGGCGTCTCCCACTGCCCCCGCCCCCACCCGTCTGGCAACCGTGGTGTGCTCTCTGTATTTATAGTCTGATTCTGCTTTTGTTTGTTCTTTTTTCCCCTTAGATTCCACTCTGAAGTGGAATCATACGGTCACTGTCTTTCTCAGTCTATCGTACTTACTGTAATACCCCCTAGAGCCTCCCGCAGTGTCTCAGATGGCACGATCATATCCTTTCTTACGACCGCATCACAATTCCATCATACATATATGCCACATTTTCCAAATCCATTCGTCTGTTGAGGGACACCCATACATTTAATTCTTTTTCAGAAGCAGCTGGGGCTAGGAAGAGACAGCAGGGCATGGAGACCAGGCGCTCGGGCCTCACTGATGAGGGCAGCCCCTATGCAGTCACGAGATCCTGACCAACTGCCCAGGGGTGCCAAGCCCTGTGCTGAGTGCTGGGGACACAATAAAGACACCTGCCGGGGGCAGAGGACACCTGCAAGAAGCCAGAGATGATGGGGAAAGAGTTCCTTCTGTCCTCCACTGGGAAGGCATCTCCCTCTCCAGACAATATGCTGCACCAAGGGGAGCAGACTGGGTGAGCCTGCCCCCCGCCCCCTCTCCCCAGCAGCTTAGCACCATGGGGGAGCAACAGGGAGCAGGGAGTGACGTGGGCCTTCCCGTGCCCACGGAGGCCTCTGCCTGCCAGCTCTGCAGCATGGCCTCTCTTCCTATGTTCCTCACCTGGGCAACCCTTCTCTCCTCTCCTCTGGGCATGGGGCCCCTCTCCTATGAGGCCTGCCACTCTGCGGCCTGGGTGCATGCTCTGAGGGCAGCCGGAGATTCACAGCCCTGGTGCGTGCCCAAGGGACGGACCATGGGGTAGAGACCACTAGCATTAAAATTACGCAAGGAAGACACGGCTAGAAAAAGGGAATTGGGTTTGCCCTGGAAATGGCTCTGAACAAGAGAACATGGCACTGTGGGCATGTCAACCCAACGGCAGAGACTGACCATTTTGTTCAGGGCTGGGGATGCAGCCCTGGCATGGGCTCGTTACACAGCAGGCCTTCTGGAAGGTTCGATCATTCAGTTACATAGACCATTCAGACTCACAGGAATCTGAAGGTCCCATAGAGGGCTGGAAGCCCATCTGGGAGCGAGCCACAGGATTCCCAAGGTACTGAGACCCCCACCTTAACCCAGGGAAACCCAGGTACCAGGTAACCTACTTAGCCAGAGAGCACAGCCCTCTCTCAGCCTCCCTCCTCCTCATTCTAAACCCTGTACAACCACACTATTTTTAGCCCAGGACCTAATCTCTGCAGTAAAGGTTTCCTTGTCTTCACTTGATTCAAGGGACCAGCAGGCTAGAAACGTAAATGTGCTCTCCGCCCAAGAGCACCTGGATCTGCATGCAGCCCAATCCTGCCTCAGTTCCTCCCCAAATCAGGGTGCTTTCATGAGAGAAAAATGTCAAACTGATCCTTAGGTGGACTGTCCTTTGCAATGGTCTCTGTGCCAGGCTTCCTCATTGATTTAGCATTAGGATCTGAAGAGCCCAGATTTCTGGCTGGTGGAGCACCCTGCCCTGGGACCCGAAAGTGCCGGCCTGGGCTCCCACGTGATTCAGCAGCTGGGCCTGCAGCTCCACGTGCCAGGGTAGCGAAGCTGCGCCAAGCAAGCAGCAGGGCCCTCACCAACCACACTTCTCTCCCGAGAAGACATAATTTTAAAAGGCACCAGGGCCACATCTTGGGGCTTTCAAGGAAAAGGTATTTTCCTGGCAAGCAGGGCCGGCCAAAAAAAATTACACGGCTAAAATAAATCAAGGCATATAAATTAGAGCAAGTTTTACAGAGAGAGTTGGAGTGAGTCTAAACACCAACATTATTAAGTGCCCACGTTGGGTCAGACTCCTGGCCAAGCTCTTCACACACAGCCCCAACCGCCGGCTTTAGCCATCAGCCAGCGTGCCTTTCTCTCTGGCGTGTCCCGGTTTTAGTGACAGACACTTCGGTCACCTGCTATCAGGTGGCCACCAGCACAAGACGGTCCCAGGCATTTCACACACACTGCTGCTCCAGATCCACTGTCTCGCTTCCGGGAGAGAAAACCAGGGCCCAGAAAAGCACATCACTCCAGGCAGGCCGCACAGCGTGTAAGGGACGGACCCTCCAGGGACAGCCGCAGGGATGTGTGAACCCCTCTCCTGGCCAGTCAGCTCTTTCGGCAATTCGTTCCTCTCTGCTGCTCTCTGGGGAGGCTGACAAGGCCCAGGCCCACACCCGCTTGCTTGCTTGCTTGGCTTTCCCTGAGGCCGGAGACAGGGCTGGACACTGACAAAGCAGTCCGTATCTGCTGAGTGTGCAAATGAACGAACGAGTGAATAAACGGGAGGCCACGCTAACTTCCATGCCTCCCCTTCTCATCTGCAAAGGGTAAAAGATCTACCTCAAAGAAGTGGGTGAACAAAGCATCCATCCTGGTAAAGATCTTTATGTCCCTCCTCCCAGCCAGCCTCCCACAGAGCCACACAAAAGCCTGGCTGGAATGGAATGGAGCGTTTGCCTGAGGCCGGCATTGATATGGACTGGGAAAGGAGCAGCTAATGAATAAAGGTGACAACAGACAAAGCTGCAATTCACAAAACACACACACACACACACACACACACACACACACACACACACACACACACTAAATGAGCTCCCAAACATCATGATACAGCTAACCGCAAAGGCCTCTGGCCAACCTCACAGGAGCATTTCTGCTGACCTCTGAGCTGGAACCAGCTGGAACACCACCAACTGCAAAGTTCTGCAATGGGGCTTTTTGGCGGCTTACACTTTCCTTGTCAGCCCCAAATGAAACTAACCACACTGGCTCCACCTGCCGCAGCTCCCCTCCCTTTATCCGCAGCTCCCCTCCCTTTATCCACCGCCCCCCGCCCCCGCTCCTCCTCCCTCCCTCTTCACCTCCCACCACCCTATGGCCAGGAGTCCAGTCTGGCCTGGGGAACTCCTGGGCCACACCACACGCGTCCACGAGCCATGCGCGCACAAAGGTACCTCCAGAGGCGATGTAGAACCCACTGGGCGCGTACTTGGCCACCACCACCTGATGGGCATGCTCCGTGTAGATGTCAGCAAGGGCTGGGTTCTGCAGGGAGGAGACCAGAATGAACACAAGGAATGCAGAAGCAATCAACTGCTTCCCCCTCTCCCGATGAACGGATTTGGGGGCTAAAAATAACACACGCACAAACATTTAAGTCAAAACCTCCATAAAGAAAAATCCCAGCAGTACGACTACCTGCCCACACACCCACCTATCTTCGGGTGATAGGAATCTAGGCAGTTTTAACTCTTTCTCTTTCATCTACAGCTGTGGAATTTGAGATGACTGTCTTTCCTTTGCTTTTCTGCACTCGACACAATACAAATATGTATCTGTAAGATACACACTCGAGACAGAATTTTCACTGAAAAAAAGTCTACTATTCTATTTTTCTTTGTGGGGAGCCTCCCGCTGCGGCTGCTTTCTCCAGTCACCTGTGTGCTGGTCTCCCTGTTCAGAAGCAACTCAACCCCAGCTGCCGAACAGTGTATGGCCTGAAACAGAGCCCTTGGCTTTGAGCTCCAGCAGCACAGTGGGGCGCAGAACTGGGAGCCTCCCCTTGTCACAGCTGTCGCCGGGGGCAATGTGGACTTCCTACTCGCTTCGTAGCCCAGATGGAAGGCTGGCTGGACTCACAGCAAGAACAGGGCCGGCATCTAGGATGAGAAGCATCTCCACTACTCAGCAAGAAGGTTCTAATGTCTAATTTACTAAAAGTAGACAGCGGCGCCCCCACTTCCACACACTCGAGCGGCCTCAGCAAACCTGAAGCACACATACTGAGATGCTCTCAATTTGTCTCTACAGCTGGGCTTTCTTTCAGGAGGGAACAGACTCGGTCATCTACTCCCCAATTCCCGCTGTTGGCTTTCTATGAACCAAGCACTCTTGAAAAGAGGCCGCTTCCCACTGGCTGGAGGCTGAGGACACAACAGGCCCCAGTGTTGACACCCCGCTTTCTAGAGGTGGCGGCTGCAGGCACATCTAGCCTGACCCACAACTGCGCCCCCCCCACAACCTGAACACAAGATCAGAGGCCTGCACTTTTCTCAGCCTTCTGGCCAGAGGGTCCCCACACCCCCCATTCTACCAGACTGAGACCAGAGAAGTGGACCCTAAATTCTAGCCCCACCCACCACCACCCACCTTCTGGCATTCCTGTTAGCCCCACGTCTCTCTGCAAATGCTGTTCCCCAGAACCACCCCTCCTGCCTGCTGACACCTACTTACAAGGCCTAACTGCAGGGCCATCTCCTGCACGAAACCTCTTGTGAAGGCTTCTCTTCTGTGCCCCTAAAGCATTTAACATGTCCGTAAAGGTCCTAAAGGTCCTCACGACACACGATACAGGTATCCCCTGCTTTTCCAAAGTTTGCACTGTGCCACTTTGCTTTTCCAAAAGACCTACATTAGTACCTGTTTTCACTAACTGGAAGTCACACGGGATTTTCACCGTCATGAAAAAAGGCAAAGAGCCAAAATCGCATTCAGCCCTGGTTTTGCGGCAAGATGAGCCGGTCTGGGGTAGCAGGCACCCGAGAGCGGCGAGGGATGCCCCCCAGTGCCTTCCCCGGGAGCCACACTCAGCGTCTCGGCATCAAGTGGCCAGAGCTCCAAGCTGTGTCTGGGAGCACCTGGGCTTTATCTCCATTTATGTCGTGCATCTGTCCCAAGGTATCAGAAAAGCCAGGACAGGTGATTTTTTTGGGGTCTAGAACACTCAAAAATTTTTTCATATAAAGTACCAGTAACTGCTTCTTTGCTTTAGGCCATTTTGGCTCACATAAGGTTTCACAGAATGCTCTGGTTTTGGATAGCAGGGAAGCCTGGGAATCCCAAACCTTCTTGTAGACCTGAACCTTCTTGTCATCTCTTCCAATTAGTTTTTCTGCGACCTGCTTCAAGTGCAGTTTCTTCAGCCATCAAAGGAGTTCACAAATAGCAGGTGCTCAATAAATGTTTTTTTTTGAGGGGGAAAAGTATACAAAGTCCTTTTCACCCCTACAACTTAACACTCAGCATTACGTGATGTAATGGGCACTTAATGCACGTGCTTCATAAATTAATCCATCTTGGAATAAACATTTGCTAATGAAATCAGAAAGGTGTCAGGTATTCAAAGAGGATGTCACAAATGGCAAACAGGCACATACAAAGGTGCTCAATGTCATTAGTCTTTTGGGAAGAGCAAATGGAAACTACAATAAGATACCACTACATATCCACTAGAATCAGCAAGATTAAAAGACTGGTATCACCAAATGCTGGCAAGGAAGGGGGCACAAGGTACGGGAATGTTCACGTATTGCTGGTGGGAATGCAAAACGATGCAGCTGGAAAACAGTTTGGCTGGTTGTTCACAAAGTTAAGCATACACTTAACCACACACAAAACCTGCAATCCCGCCCCTACGTATTTACCAGAGAAACAAAAGCACATGTCCACAAAAAGACACATGCATGAAGATTCATAGTTGCTTTACTCATTAACTGCCCCAAACTGGAAACAACCCAAATGTCTACCAGCAGACACTGGAAGAAACACCACCCTGTATCCACACAGTGGAACACGCCCGGGCAACAAAGGGGAACATCCACTAACAGGCTCAGCAACATCAGTGAACCTCAAAGGCATTATGCTAAGTGAAAAAGTCAGACACAAAAGACAACACTGGGTTGCAGGACTCCTTTTTTATGACATTCTAGAAAAGGCAAACTTAAAGGGACAGAAAGCAGATTGGTCCTTGCCAGGTGTTAGGCATGGAGGGAGCCCACTGACAGCAAGGGTCTTCTGGAAATGATGGGAAGGTTCCATGTTAGGACTGCGGTGGTGGTTATGGGACTGGGTGTATCTGTCACATTGCGCAGCAAATAAATCTTGCTGTATCTAAATTATGCCTCAATGATATTAAGATGCCTGGTATCCATTTAACATTTGCCTAATCCAACCCATTCCAGTCCAGATTAGTGCTTCTTATCCTAACATCCTAACGCAGACAAGATCCCTCCCAAAGTAGCTGGCCAAAAGTGGTCTGTGGACAGTCCACCCCTCCTGAGATCCTTTCCAGATTGTCTGTTTCAAGGCTGACTGAGGGGTCTTACACCCCACACAGCGGGTACCACCAGCCCATTTTACAGATGAGAAACCCATCCCATGGGCAACTGACCACCCATACTGGCACTCAGCCCCACTGGGATCTGCCTTTAAATGGGTGGGCTCTGAGGGGCCTGGGGCTGGGATGCAAGATGAGTAGGCATCGGCTCTGGGAGAAGTTCTGCCCCTAAACATTCCTTCCCTTAAATGGTCAGGGCGGCAAGTGCAGGGGGTGTGAAACACCCAAGGTCATCCCCAGCAGGCTCAGCACCAGAATCCCAGGCTGGATGAGACATCTCTCTTGTCTGCATTGCAAATACAACTGAGCCAGCAAGGGAGGGGGCCAGATCCTCCAAGCTGAAGATAATGACTTTTTCTGAGTCTGTGGCAAGCTCCCCACCTGGGCTCAGCACACGCAGGGAGCCTGGCTACTAGGGGCAGAAATGACAACTCCCCTGTTCCCACTGTCGTCCTGCCAGGTGAGGCTCATTCCAGATCAGCTAAGGTCACAAAGCACCAGGATTTGGACCCAACGCCCGCTCCCCCGCCTCACAGGGGGCGGTAGCTCCCCTCACTTGTCCTCCCTCTCCCGCTGCCCTCAGGCAAGGAGAATAGGACTTGGGTGAGTAATTTATTTGCGGCAGGGCTAGCGAACAGGGAAAATGAGCCAGTGAAGGGAAGAAAGCCAATTCTGGGTGCACCAAGGAATATTCCTGTTATGGCAGGGGCTCCCCCTCCCTGGGGGCCTTAGGAGATGGTTCAGGACAGGCCCAATCTCACTGCCTGCACTCTTCTCAGACCCCTACAGGACTGCCCTCCTGGGCCAAGGAGCTGCTCCCTGGGTGCCCTTACCTGGCCAGGGCTCCTGTCACTCCCACCTGGGGCTAGAACAGGAGCACCCCCCGCCCCCCTCCCTCCGTCCACCGCAGCTCAGGGCCTGGCAGTGGGTACTCAGCAACATTGCTGAGGGGCAGAGCTCAGGGCTGCTGAGACCCTGGCATAAGCCCCGGAAGGCTGCCCCAACACCTCCGAAGTCAGGGAGCCTTATAGAAAACACAAGAAGACAGAGTCACAGATGTGAGGAGAGACATGGGCATGGCTGGCCTACCACTTGCCTTGCAGACCCTGCAAATGCCTGTGGGGACAGCAGGTGGGGGTGCTCTGGCCACAGTGGAAGCCAGAAGACAGGAGGCACCTCAGCCCAACCGGAGGAGGCCCATTCTCCTGCGGACTACATGCCACCCTGGCCTCCCACCTGCGCAGAGGGCCGTTCCCACGACCAGACTGTCTTCCGCCAATCCTGTCCAACAGGAAATGAACCCAAACCCCCACACCTTCCCAATCTGCAGCCTGCCTGAGGAGACTCCCTACGTCAATGAAGGAAGGATTCCTGAAACTCGCTTCATCCGGGCAGTGTCTAACTGAGCCGTCAGCTCCCCAAAGCTCTTTCAGGTCCTAGGTCTTCTCAGGCTCAGGTGCCGAGGAGGGATCAGAGGTCACCACACCATCTACAGTGAGGTCAGTGACTCGCCCAGGTCACAGGGCGTGGCAGCTTTGACCTCAGCTCCTGAGCCAGTGAGCCGGGGGGACACATCAGGAGGTTGGGAAGGCCTCCCCAAACGACCAGTGTAGAAGCTGTTGGACACAGCACTGCAAGAGGGGCCTCCGTGCTCTCCTGTAGCAGCTGATGGCCCCGGAGCCTCCAGAGAAAGCCCTGGGCTCCTCCAAACTTGGACCAGGTAAAGTGAGCGTGACCTTCCAGGAGGATCGCATTTCACAGTACTGGCTTTCTAACTACTTCTAGTTCCTAAAAGCAGTCACTAGGAGCTGGACCTGTGTATCTGACACAATCTGCAGGGACCTCTGTTCATTGATGACTAAGGACAAACTCGAATTACTGCACAGTAGCCCGGCATGAAAGCAGCCACACGGACATCTGTGCTTCCAGA